ACCGGAAGTCCCGAGGCAGGTCAAGCTCTAGAGAATCACTCTAGAAAATCACTCCCCAGTTTCCTCATCCCCACCTATGAAATAGGACGGCGCTCTCTGCCTACTTCCTAGAACTACCAGAAGGATTAAATGAGCGAAGGCATATAAAAACTTACAGAAAATTATAATGCAAATTTTGTCCTGGAAAATAATAAGGGTCCTCTTTACTCCAAGAGACTCACTTCCCTCTCCCAGCAGAGAGCAAAAAAATGAGCTAACATTTACTGAGATCCTTCAATATATTAGGCTAGTGCATGTTTTATATGAATTATTTCAAAATATGCTAATGTCACCCCTACAAGGAAGGCGTATCATTCTCCCATGATACAGATGAGGACACTGAGGCTCTGAAAATGAAGTGACTTGCCCAAGCTCACCCAGAAGCAGCTGAGCCAGGATTCAAACCCAGCTCCAGACGGCATCCAAGCACAGACCCTTTGGGTCACACCAGGCTGATTCAAGGGACCCATTTCTACAACCCAAAATCTCAGAGCTAAAGAATCAGGGTTCAATGTGAGGCTCCATGTCACTCACACATAATCCACTGAGTCCTGAAATCCTGACATCAGATGCAGTGTGCCAGCCTGTGGACCAGCAGGGTCATTAGAGCTGGGTGGGGCATAAGGGGGTGGCTGGCCCAGCTGGTCTTGAGCTAATTGGATCAGTCCTGGGCATGGAGCCACCTGTCCAGCTACCCTGGCAGATGGGTGCTGGAACTGGGCCATCTGCCAAGGCCCAACCTCCATGTCCAAACCAACCTGGACACTGAGGTTCCATTTTGGCCTCCTCTCATCTGACCCGGATGGCTGGCAGTGCCCATATAGTTCTAGAAGGCCAGAGTGGCAGCCGCTATCCCTCTTTCAGTGGCTGGTGCCTCCCTGATGTGGCCACAAGGTCCCACATGCTCCCTGACAGCTGGACTGGCAAAGCAACTGCCTGAGGACATCGTCTACACAGGCCCCAAGACCCCGGCCACCCCCCTACCCCTGCCCAGCAGGCCACAGGCACAGCCAGGAAAACCCCAGGCCGGAAGGTGCTGTCCCCAACTTGCTTTATGACCTTGTACAAGTCACCACCCCTCTCTGGGTCTCAAATTCCTCCTGAGCCAAAAAGCAATGCTGACCCACCCCTCCATCCCTTCCTTTGTATCCCACTCCTGAAGTCACAAACTTCCACCCAAACTCACTCCAGGTCACTCCAGAAAGACAAGCATCCATTTTATGAATAGCAGCTGAGGCCCAAGGGACCTCAGGGACTTGCTCAAGTCCACACAGTGGGAGGGCCAGTACTAAAGGCTGCATCTTATGACTCCAGGACACCTACCACCTGTTTGCCAGGTGGTGGGAATGGTGATACCTGAGGTCCTGCCCAACTCTCACGGCACACTCTCCACCCAGGCTAAATGTCTCCACCCTCCCATCAGGTAGGGAACCATGCACAGCCCCTGGGCCATCCTAGTAAACTCAGGCGAGGCACCTGACCCTGCTGTTGCCCTCCCCACCAACCTGCATTCCCAAAGCAGCTTCAGGACCACCTCCCTGCCTCTGGCTCTCCAGACCAGCCCCTCCCACAACCACCAGAGGGGATGTTTTAAATTGCAAATCTGATCACATCCCTCCAGAACTTAAACCCTGCAACCACTGAATATGGAATCAGCCCACCCTTCTCATTCCGGTAGTCAAGATCCTCCTGTCTTGTGCCAACCTGCTCAGCACCCGCTGTGGCCCTGCATGAACCACAACATTGCAAACGCTTTCCACCCATGCCTGGTGCTTCCCACCTCCATGGCTTTACTAAGGTTGTGCCATCCGCCTGAAAATCCCTCACTTGTTCACATCCTCCATTCATTCATTTATTCAACATATTTTTGGAATATCTACCAAGTACCAAAAACATCTAAGCAGGTCGAAAAGCACCAACTGTCCAGTCCACCTGACATAACCCCTTGCCAACCCCACTCCCTGTACCTCTGCAGCTGCCCAGACAACTCTGCCTCATACCCAGAGGTGTGGATCCATGTCTGTGTCCCCTTTCAAAGCTCACCCAGCAAGAGACCCAGGTTTGTCATCAGTGTCCCCAGTATTCATCCCAGACATCAAACAGGAAATGCCCCCAAATATGGATTCCAGACAGTGAGAAGCAAAGCCAAAGCATGGTTCTTTGGAGCAAATGCGTGAGCCCTGGAAGCCCATGAAGAGACTCTGATTGGCCTAGGTAGCCCCCAGGTCCCCCCAAAGACACCCTGAGTGGTCAGGGATACCTTTTGCCTCTCAAGTCACCCCAAAGTCCAACACACCCAATAACTTATCACTGAATTTGTTAGAACATAGTATTTTTATAAGTTAAAACATAAACATGCTGAGTGAGGGTCTAGCTGGGAGGGAAATTAAAGGGCCACCCTGGGTACTACCCCTTCCTAGTCAGGAGGTTTGGTGGGGAGTAGCTGTCCTCCAAAAGGGGACAGCCAGTGGGGACTTGGAGCACCCAGCTGGGATGTTCATGACTAATAGTACAGACTAAGTAAGGACCAAAGATGTCCCCTGCTCTCTCCTCCCCATGGTTTGGGGCCCCAAATGGAGGGCTCAGCATGCTGGAGTTAGGTGGTAGGGAAGGCAGAAGAACTAGGGTAGGGGTTCAGGCAGGCTTTGATGGCAGGGATGAAGCCAAGCAGACTCCAGCCACCTGGGTATCAACCAGAGCATCGGCCAACACACAGGACACAAAAGCCCAGAGCTCAGGGGGCCACAGGAGGACAGAGAAGGAGGGGAAGAAGGAGGGAAATGATAGCCAAGAAAGACCACATCGGCAAGAGCCAGCAGAAAAGAAGAGTGAGAGGCCAGCAAAGAGGCTAAGAGGGACACCACAGGGCCCAGCAGGCCCAGCCCAGCCCCAGGGGGAGGCCGGTCACTCCTGGGCAACCGCTCCCCCCCACAGACCTCCAAGGGCCTGAGTGCCCTGGTTATAAGACTAGGCTCTCATCAGCGCTGGTTGGGCGGGTGGAGGGTCAGGCACTCACAGAGGCCTGCCTGGGGCTGACAGCTGCCTACTCTAGTCTGTGCCTCAGGTAGGCCACCTAGGGAGGAAGTGGGCCCCAAAGCCACCAAACCCCCTTCCCCCAGTGCACATTTCAGCCTCTGTGTGGATCCCATTCCCCTGAGGGTCAGCTCTTTGGCCCACAAAGGGCTCCAGCATGGAGATCTCTGGAGAGTAGGAAGGGTTCCAGGGCTCAAACAGGAGGAGAATGCCAGGGCCTAGCCTAGAGTGCCAGTCTGGCCCTCTGATCTCCAGAATGATACTGACACCCCAGTGCTGATTATAGGATTTTAGAAACCAGGTTTACAGATCTAAGCAGACTCTTGCTCCGTATCTGGGAAGCAAAGGTTAATGAGGCTGGGGTCAAGAGGTGCCAAAACTCAGGCCAGGGACAATCAGGCTGACAATGACTGTGCCCACTTCCCTGCCCACCTGGTGAGGGTGCTGGTCACAGGCAGCAGGAGTTCTGCCTTGGGGAGACCCTCTAGCAGCAGACCCCAGAGCCCTGCTTCCGGGTCATTAAAGAGAGCCTGGGCACTCCCCCGCCCTCTCCCCACCCTGAAGACCAGGGTTAAAGGGTACCTTCACAGGGGAAAGGGGCTGCCCTGAGACTGGGCTCCTCCTAGCTGCATCCCTGCCTCAAAGTCCTCCTCTGTGAAACAGAGAGGACGCGTGCCCATGGACCCTGCACTCTCACTAGGTGGCTAAGAGATTCCAGAGGATAATGGAAGTGGGAGCTGGACACACAAGATATTCCCGAAGCTCAGAGACCCAGGTAGATACTGACGGGCCCAGCGTCACACCCCTCTGCCTGGCATCTAGGCTGACCCCGCAGGCTCACTCGCTGAGTGCCAGGAAGGAGGGTGTCTGGACAAGGGCTGGACGGGAACCCGGCTGCTGCAATCCAGAAACCCTTCCTTGGGCCTCTCCCTCCTGGAGACACACAGTTTCCTTCCTCTCAGAGGCACCACCTCCCCATCCTATCTCCTACTGCAGAGACAGGATGGCATTTGGGGAAGGGGCCCTAGGAAGCTCCCCGAGGCAGCCAGCATAGGACAGGAGAGTGGGAAGACACTCAAGAAGCGGTGGGGCGGGGCGGGGGGCATCCAGCAGAGCCAGAACCTTGTCGCTTGGAGTGAAGCTCGAAGAAGCACGGATGCAAGCAAAGCAGGGACAGGGGCATCAGGTCCAGGGCCTGGCGGTTCCCCTGCCACCCTCCCGCCGCTTGCCGCCTGGGAGCTCCTGGGGAATGGGATGCACCGTTCAGGCAGTTCCCTTCCTCCAGCTGCCTGCCGTGGGGCAGAACGCGCAAGGACACACAGACAGGTCTCCCCACTACCCCACCTCACGTCCCCTGTCCTCAGGCTGGCTGCAAGGACGGTCTGTGGACGCTGGGCCTGGACGCTGCACAGTCCGGCCTGACCCTGGCGGAGTCGCCGGAGTCCGGCACGCAGAGCGGCTCCAGCCCGGCGCCGCGGGGCTGGACGAGTGTCCCGGGAAGCGTTCGGCTGCGCCGCGGGGAGATGGAGACGCACCCCTCGGCCCTCCGGGCAGCACGGCCCACGCCCCGCCCCATTCCTCCCCCACGTTCTCTCCTCAGAAAAGAAAGGTCGGAGCTCCACTATGAAAGCGCCTCAATCCTCTCCCCCGACACACAAAGTTGCTCCAGGTCGCCTACGGCTCTGGCGGCAGGCGCAGCGGGCAGAAGCGCGGTCAATGCCCGGGGTGCCGAGCGTGCCCCGTCCGTCTCCACTCGTGCACGCCCCGCGGGCGCGCGCCCAGCACCCCATCCCCACCGGCGGCCCCGAGGCTCCCGCCCAATCGGAGGCCGCGCACGCGGCGGTGCCGGCGGGCCGACAGCCCAGCTCCCGGGCCTGCGCCCCCGCGGCTTCGGCCCCGCCGCAGAGTCCGGGCCTGGCCACACTCACCGTCCGGGGCGCGCAGTCCGCGCGCGGCTCCGCCGCGGGGCCGCATCCCCGGGCTCGGCTCCGCTCGCGCTCCCGCTCCGGCTCGGGTGCCCCCTGGGCAGGGCTCAGCTCCGCGGCGGCGGCAGCAGCGAAGAGCGAGGCGCAGAGGGCGTGTGCGTGCGCGCGTGCGTGTGTGTGCGCGCGTGCGTGTGCGCGTGTGTGTGCGTGCGCGCGGGGGAGGGTCCTGCGCTCCGCGCTCCTGCCTCCTGCTCCCCGTTCCCCGCGCCGAGATGCCCGCAGACTCCCTAACGCGCGCTCCCGGCCGCCCGGGCGCTCACCCTCGCGCGCGCGCACGCCGACCCGGGCTCGCGCCCCCCGCAGCCTCCCCCCCGGCCCCGCACTCCTGCCTGCCGCCCCCGTGGGGCGCTCGCGAAGGCCCCCTTGCCCGGCCCCCTCCCAGGCTGGCCCCGCCGCAGGCCTCCTGGCGCCCCCTCGAGCGTCCCTCCCCCTCCACGCTGCCTGAACCCGGGCCGGGGCGCCCAACTCGGGCTCGCGGCGCTCCCACCCCGAGGCGCCGGCTCCCTGCTCGCCCGCCCCGCCGCCCGGGCCGCGCGCTCCCTCGCCTCCCTCGCCCCCTTCTCCGCCGCCGCCTCCCCTTCTGTCTCCTCTCCCCTCTCCCCGGACCCCGGGCCCCCGGCGCTCCCCCCGTCTTTCACCTACCTCGCCGCCGCCCTCTCCCTGCTCCCCGCTCCCCACCGCCCTGCGCTGCCCCTCACATTCTCCGCGTTACTTGGGGTGCCGCCCCCCGAGCCCAGGCGTGGGAAGCGCTGTGGACGGCGAGGGGACCCGCCGCGCCCGGGACCCGCCGCCCCCTCCGCCTTCCGCTCGCCCCGCCGCTCCTGGCTCGGGCCCGGCGGGCAGGGACGTCCCGCGCTGGCCTCGGCTGCCTCCGACAGCTCCCCTCTCGCCCGGGCTTAAAGAGACCGCGCACTGGGTTTGACCGGCCCCGTCCGGGGGCACCGAGGAGGGCAGCCCGGGGCGCCAGCGCCGCCGGGACGGTGCGGACGGCGCCCTGTTGGCCGCCTTTGAGCCTGGCTCTTTGGGGCTGGAAGTGAGTCAAGTAGAAGGGCGGCCTGTAGCTGCCTGGACCACGCCATCCACAGGACGCTCAGTGTTTTTGTTGGCAGCTATGCCTATGGGCCGACTGGGCGTGTGGGGCAGTGCAGGCTGGGTGCCCGGGACTGCGGGTGCCAGAGGAGGAGGGACCAGGGAAGCAGCTGTCCGGATCTGACCCTAGGGTGAGGACACCTGTCATTCTGGGAGGACAGGGCCTACAGGATGGCCTCCCACTCCTGCTGTGTGACCTTGGGTAAACGCCTGCCTCTCTCTGGGCCTCAGTTTACCCTTCCTTGAAAGATCATTAGCTTCCATCCTCTCCGGGGCCATACCCAACTGATATGGTATTAGACCGTATAGGCAAGGGAGTCCCAAGACAGGCCCTCAGCCTCCATAATCCCACCTACAACTTGCCTCTGAGAGCTGGTGCCACTGCTGAGGCTGCATTCCTTGCCACGACCACCCCCCCCACACCCACCAGGCCTGCTCTGGCCCCTCTCTTACTCTATGACCTTCCTTCTCCAGCCTCTTCGGGCGAGCAAGGCGAAGCTGAAAAGCACAGGGACCTGCCAGGGGCAGCGCCCTACAACCTGTAGAGCTCTTTCACATCCAACATCTCTCTGGACGCTCATGATGCCCCCGGGAAGTAGAGTGCACACCTAGGCTCCTGGTCAACCTGGTCCTGGCACACCAGCACGTCATCTTTCCGGTCCCAAATTCTTACTTCCACCCAGGTGGACTGCTGCTCCCCAACCCCCACATCTATTCACTAAAACATCTATCATGTGCCCCATCCTGTGCTAGGTATTAGGAATACACAGATGTTTCCAACACACTCCTTCCCTCAAAAAATGAGAAAGCAGAAGTTATGATGGAATTTGGGGAGATAGAGGGTATCCAGGAAAGCTCCTGGTGGAGGTGACATAGAAGCCAGGTGTTGAAGGATGTGTAGGAGTTCATCAAGCAGAAAAGACATCCCATACCAAGAGAAGAGCATTTGCAAAGACTTGGAAGTGGGAAACGGAGAAGGATGGGTTTATTTTTGAGAAGAGAAGCTGTAAGAGCCTTGAATTAAAGAGTTCCAACTTTGTTCTGGGGCATCTGGCGGTCTGCCACTTAGTCAATCTAGGCAGAAGCCCTCCCTATCTTTCACCTATCACAGTAGCATGGCTAATGGCTCCAAAATCCAGGAGTTTTCGAAAGAGACCTTCTCTCCTCTCTTTTAAGCCCGGTCCCAACCTCTGCTCCCAATTTCTGCAGTAGATGCGGCACAGCCTCCCCCTGCTGACAGGAGCTGGAAGACGGGGAAGCCCAGGCTTCATTCACTGTGGCCAAGACCTGAGTCCAGGAGACGCCAGACTTTGGCACCCATCCACCCAGGTGCTCCGCCAAGACCCTGACCTCTGGTGTTAGGCATGCCCAGGTGCCAGTTCCAGCCTCAGTGTGCAACTTTGTAAATAGGAATAAAAATACTAAGCCACCAAGGAGGGTGATGAAGAATTCACAAGGAATAAGGCACAGGAATGACCCAGCACACAGTGGGTGTTTAGCAAGTGCCCTTTTCCTTGCCCACAACTGAGCTTGGTTCTGTGGCCCACCCCAAAGGTCCTTACTGTCTCCCTTTTTCCTCCTTCCCAGCCATTTTCCTTTTGCCCTCCTACCAGACTTCCTGGGGGCCTCAAGGGAGATGAGCTCACAGCCGTTGCCTGCTCTGGCTCAGCTCAGCTCCTGGGGAGTCTTCCCAGGGCTCCCAGGTGAGCCCTAGGGAAGCCAAACAGACAAACAGCCTGCCCCTGGAGTCCCTGACATCTAAGCAGAGCAGCAATTCCAGGATACTTCTCCATCCATTTCTCCCACTCTCTTTACAGGGAGCCACAGCCTTTGTGTCTGTACTTGAGAATTCATGCCCCCAGCTTTACTGTGCAAACTCAGACAGGTAGCACACCCTCTCTGAGCCTCAATGTCCTCCCTAAGTATGGGGGCAAGCTGGTATGCCCCACAGGGTCAATGAATGTAAGTCTAAGTCATTTATTTTCCCTCAGCAGGTCCAGTCCAGGTCTTGGCCCTCTATCAAGGAGCTCTTCACAGAAACAGGCAGGTTCAGAGGTCTCCTTGGGACCCCCTTGTGTCCTGCCCCTGTGCTAGTGGCCGGGAGCTGTTGCCACCTCTGTGTGGGGAATACACATCAGAGAATTTAGAGTCTAGAGAAAGGATCAGACAGAAATCAAACCATTATGCCAAGCAATGTGAAATTACAACTTGGGCAATTGCTATGAAGAGCTGTGGGGCTGTTAGGTAAAGCCCGGTCTAGTCTTAGGCATCAGGAAAGGCTTCTTGCAGGATGTGACATTTAACCTAGCACCATAAGGTTGGGTATAAATTAAACTGGAGAAGTAGGGGGCTCCAGAGAGAAGAAATAGCACATGCAAATTTCCTTTGGTAAGAGGAAGGAGAGAAAGCCTATGCGGCCAGAGCAAGCATAGAGGGAATTGAAGACGGGGCTGCAGGTGACATCAGTCAGTGTAACCGGCTATAATGGGCCCCAAATGGAGTTGGGGGTTTAGCCTGGTGGCAGTGGGCTGGCCCTGGAGGTTTGAAATAGAGGACCGTCCCCCCAGTTCCTTCAGCTGCTTCCCAGCCCACCACTCAGCACCACCCTGTACCCAAGGACAGCTTCTACCCTCTTCTCTGTTGCCCAGGCCCTAGTACAAGGTAGGGCATGCTAGGGTCTCAGATTTGGCAGCCCGATAAAGAGGCAAGGGACTGTAGCTCAGCCTCCACTCAGACTCTAGCTGAATGACTCTGGGTAGTGCCTGTCCCTCCCTGTCCCCCATAACTAGAAACCAAAGATTGAACTAATCTTCTCTGCCATCTATGGTTGATCCTGGGCCATAGCCTGTAACAAGGTGATGGAGAAAACATACTAGTCAAAATGACTCTGCCAGAGCCAGATACATGAGCCTAGAGCCCTATAGTGGGGTCAGGGAGTTGCTTGGGGTCTTGGGCTGGCCTAGCGCCTCTCTGCCCTCCTCCGCTCCCTCCCGGACTGACCTTTCCCAGCCCTTCCCACATGGGGCCCTCGCAGGGGCTTCCCTCCTCCCCAACCCCCAGCCTGTTGGTCTGTAAGAGCTGAACTGGATCCTTGGGCCTTCAGTTTTCCCATGTAAAAGGGTATAATTCTTTTTCATAATCTTTTTTTATTAAAATATGGTTTATATACAATATTATTTTTGTTTCAGATAAACAACTTAGTCATCAATTAGATACATTAAATGCTCACCACGATAAGTGTAGTTCTATATGTCACCATACAAAGATTTTACAATATTATGAGCTATATCCCCTATGCTACACTTCCATCCCTGTGACTAAATTATTTTATAATTTGAAGTTTATACCTCTTTATCCCCTTCACCTATTTCACCCGTCTCCCCAGCCCCCCAT